CTCCTGCAACACGACGCCTATTCCATACTGACTTGCGTCCGAGGTGACGACAAATGGCAAGGACGGATCTGCTCCTTTGAGGACAGGGTACTCTATTAACGCGCGCTTCAACCTCTTTAGCGCAGACGTATAGTCTTTGTCCCATTGCCAGATTGCCTCTTTCTTAAGCAACCTGCGCAGGGGAGCGGCGATGGTAGAAAAGTTCCTCACGAACTTTCTATAGTAATTAGCTAGGCCTAGGAACGACCGCAACTCTGTCAATGTGCGGGGTGTCGACCAATCTCTAATCGTCGCTATCTTCCCGTCCTCTGGCTTAATGCCATCTCCGTCCAACACGTGGCCCAAGTACAGGACTTGTGTCTTGGCCCGCTCGCACTTCTTCGGGTTGATCTTGAAGTTAGCCTCTCTAAGCTTCTCCAAGACTTGCCTCAGATGACCCTGGTGCTCCTGGAGGGTCTTACTAAAAATTAGGATATCATTTAGATAAACTACTACAAACTTGTCTAACCATGGCCTAAACAGGTCATTAATACAATGCTGAAAAGTGGCTGGCGCGTTGGTTAGTCCAAAGGGCATCACTATAAATTCGTAGTGCCCATATCTAGTCGGGAACACAGTCTTGTACTGGTCATTAGGGTGGACTTCTATCTGATGATAACCGGACTTCAGATCTATCTTAGAAAAATACTTGCAACCCTGCACCCGATCTAAGAGATAGTCTATCCTGGGCAGCGGCTCAACATTCTTCACGGTGATAGCATTCAAACCCCTATAATCTATACACATTCTCAGCTCTCCTTCCTTTTTTGGGACAAACAAGACTGGTGCTCCAAAAGGAGACGAACTGGGCCTGATCCAACCTTTCTCAAGGAGCTCATCTAACTGCTTGCGCAACTCCTCTAACTCCCTAGGGGACATCCTGTAGACTGCTCCCTTAGGAGTTCTACTGCCAGGCTCTATCTCTATTCTGTGCTTGATGGGTCGCGACACTACTCCTGTCGGCGACTCAGTCAAGTCTTTGAACTCTTCCAATAGCTTGGCTATGGTTGGATCTGTGGAACTATCCTTTTCCTTGGCCTCGGTGACAGGTCTAACATAACTACAAAGACCTGGTCCTCTAACTGCTCCTTTTTCACTAGTCGCGCGAATGCGGGAGCACTGAGACATCAATGTGCCAAGGTGTTATCTACACCTGACACATGAAACAGGCGGGCAGTCTTAACTGCGCCCGACGGGCTAGGGAGCCTACACTCATGCTCTCTCAAATGGAGTGTGGCCCCGACTGCCTCTCCCCAATCCATTCCTAATACTACATCAAAAGGAAGGTCATCCTGTACGAGGAGAGTCAGGGAATGGAGAACTTTCTCCACCTTCCCATCCTTCTCTAGGCGAAAGTACGCCTGGACTCCCTCTACATAGTCCTCAACACGCATGGTGCAGTTGTCTGCGAGGACACTGACTATAGGGTCTGCTAACTTCCGGACTTTCAATCCTAGCCTTAACTTTTTCAGCGCTCTGCGGCTAATATAGCTGCGGGTGGCCCCTGAATCTATAAGGGGCCCTACTCTACTTCTAAACACCTCTATGTCTACCAAAATCAGTTGTCCTTTACTCTCTTTCTTCATCTTGGCCCACGCTGGCATCCTCTCCTTTAACTCTTTTGCCACACCTGTGAGGGACGTGCCTAAAGAGACGCTAACACAAGCAGTCTCTGRACAACTATCTAGGCACGGGCCTACAACCTCTGCCATAGGCTCATGTGGGTTGGGCGTGTCCTGTTCGCGCATGCTCACTTCTCCACATGGCCTTATAGTAGGGGCAGTTGCGACCCCTACTGGCGGCTGCCTTTTGACTGTTGGGCAGGCCAACAGGCCTGTCTATACTTAGGACAATATTTAATGGCATGGGCCGGGTCACCATAGAATACGCACTGACCCTGGTCCACGCGCTCTTGCCATATGTGCTGGTCCAAGCCCAAATCTTCCCAGGGCCTGCCCTGTGGCAAGCCTGGGTGCCATCCTCCTTGAGGTGGCCTTCCACCTCGTCGCAGTGGGACCGATTACCCTGGCGATTTGGCGGGAGACCTTGACCCCTACCTCCCACTTGGCGGTTCCCTTGTCCGCCAACCCCCTGTGCGCCCGGTCCTCGGCCTCCCATGGCCTGGCCCCTTTGGCCCTGGCCTCCTCCTCTAATTGGCGGCCTCCCTCCAGCCGCGACAGCAGCATAAGACCTCCCCTGTCCCACGCTACTGTCCTCTTCCTCTAGGCCCCACTCAATCTGGTTGTATGGGACCTCATCAGTACCACCTTCTTCTAAAGTAAGGATCATGTGATCCTTGGCCCTCACTTGGTCTGAGATGGTACGGCCTTTCCACCTTTTTCCCTTATCCAGGTCCTTATGCCAGAAAGTGGTAACAGGCATGGACCTTGACTCATACAGGACGACTTCTCTACTCAGCGCATCATAGGTGATGCCGGCCTGTTGAGACTTGTCAAAGAAATGCCCACGTAGGGCTTCTGGCATGGCACGATAAAATAACTGGACCAACCGGGTCTCAGTGATCCCATGGTCCGGGACGGCTACCAAGTCGTCCATGGTACCCTTGAGTGCTCTTGCACTCCTCCACTGCCGTGAGTGGATTGTTTGGAGCTTATCAGAGGTGCGAACGCCCCTCATTGGGTCTGCAAACCGCTCCTTCAGGAGCTTGAAGAATTGAGAGATGGGGGTGACTTTTGAATATGCAACCAGGTTGTTTTTACAACCGGCTGCATGCGCAAGAGACCTGGCGAAACTAGCCGCTTCATCCTTGAGGGCCTGGAAGGCCACGAAGACCTGTTCCTCTGACAAGATGTGCTGTAGATATATATAACTATTGACACTGGCTTCCCAGTTGTCAAAGTTCTCTTCCTTCTTCCCCCCGTATGCATCTGGGAACTTGAGCTTTACGGGCTCTTCACGGGGTCTAGCCTCGCCCTCTACAGCGGCTATCGCTTTGGCACCTTCAATGGCGCCCTCACAGAACTTCCCCACATTGTCTCTCAACTGCTTGACTTCGCCCCCAATGTGGGTGACTATCTCGCGTGCAAACTCCCTGAACCCTGACCGCATGGCACTCAAGGCTACGTCTTGGCTCCAAATGGCCTGGCGCTCCTCCATCCAGGCTTTGCTCAGCACCTCTAGGTACCCCAATACCTTATTCCATTTGGCCTTGTCATCTGACTAGGCCAACACTTCCTTTCTACACTCCTGCACCTTTGCCACCTCTGCGGTCAGTTTGTTCACCTCCTCTCTCCTCCTCTTCTTCTCCCTCTTCATCCTCAGCTTCCACGCCAATTTCTGCTCCTCCTCCCTTTCTCGCGTTCCATTGGATCTGTCATTGCTGCTAGCTCACTGGCTAGCGCAGCCCTCTCATCCTCAATCACGTAAGACTCCGCCTCCTTGTCTTCTCCCAACGATAAATTAGCAACCCACTCACTTATTTTCCTCTCCATCTCTGCGTCTGTGTCCCTCTTCGTGCCACTACTTCCCTCTCAAACTCTCAATACGCATTCTCTCTTTTTCTTCTTCTGCTGCCGCTTCTTCTTCAGCAACCTTCTTCTTTTTCTCCATCTCCTCCTCCAATTCCTTCATCTTCGCCGCCTGCTCCTTTGCGATAGCCTTTAGCATCGCCTGCTTCTCGCGCTCTTTCCTCTCCCTGTTCTCTTTCAATAGAGTGCTCTTGTAAATTATGGCCTTCTCCCGGAATGTATGCAATAACCTCATTTCGATTGGTTAATCTGCAAACACTGGGGGCGACGGAGGGACCATAGTAGTGATTGATGCCAGACATCACAAAGGGTCCTATGGAGAACACAGATTTGATTGATCATTCACACGGCGTCCATCCAGGTCGCAGTTGCCAAGCCTCTGCCGGCTTACTTACAGTCGCTAACTAAGGACCTCCGTGAGAGCTGTATGCGAGGAAACTTGCACATACGGTTTGGGAAAGGCTCTCTGATGCCTATCGATGCAAGCAATCAGTCGAAGGCTGAAAGATGCATCATCAATCAATGGATGATGGATCTGCAAAGGTTAACGGCGTACCTTTTGCATAATGGGTCAGCGAGTAAATTGATACAGCAAGCTTAAACCCTTAGGTGTAGGCGTAATGAAATTGTAGATAGTTGTCCTAAAAATATATGATCCCAAGCCGATACTTGGCAAGTACCACCTCTTCCCGGTCCATCACATGGAAAACGAAAGCCTAAATTTGCTTTATCGGGTATCAACCTTGAACTTCGGGAAAAAAGAACACGACTTACAGACAATCCTACATTAATAGCAGGTCGGATTCCATGATAAAACAGTTCTGTTTCCAAAAAGATTTGTCCGTCCGTAATGGAGATTACATTGGTAGGAATATAAGCAGATACATCTCCAGAGGTATGAAAAGCTGGAGGACTTTGTACCATCCATTCAAGTGTAGTTGAATTTGGCTCAACTGCCCAAGGCGCTTGCAGAGCGCGCACTTCACTGGTTAAAGTGAGATAAACAACCACAAAAAAAACTAAAATTCCTACAACAGAAAGATAAGAGCCAAAACTACTCAGTGCATTCCATCCGGCATAAGCGTCTGGATAATCCGGAATGCGGCGTGGCAAACAGCCATCAATGTTTGATAATTAACTTCTAAATGAGATGGTTTGACCCCTGACTGACAAACCTACTGACTCAATCTAAGGACTTACAGAATCCTGACAAGGATCCTGCCAACTATGGTCTCTAGCCTAGACCTAACTATGGCTGTCACTACTAGACCTGTTGATGATGAGGAGGCATTTAAGGAGATCCCCCGAACTCCTCAGGAATTATTTGACGTCGCCGACAGGACGACGCGATCAGCAGGTCTCTCAAGACTTAGACGGTCTGTTGTGCAGCCCACAACTCGGATTTCGAGGCCTACCGTGCCACACCGAGCAGCCTGCCGGTCAGTACCGATCCTTGGGAGGGTTTGACCTCCGGGACAGTCGAGTCCTCAGACACAACTTTTAGCCCTATTCATCCCGTGTGGGTTTGGTCAACAAGACCCTATCCTACATCCACAGAGTACTATCACCTAGGACAGAAGAGACTCAATGCAGAAAGAATAGACAGACAGACTGGACTCAACAAGTACCAAGGGGTGTGTGCACATCCACACACCAAAAAAAAAAAGAAGGAAAAAAAAAAGGACAACAAGGGAGGTAAAACAAACAAAAAGGAAAAAACAACGGGCCTATCTCAATTGCTAAACGGTCTAAACCCATGAACTGTTGAAATACAGACCTGAATTCGAATCCAGCTGGGTTAGATGACAGTCACTGAAATTCTTGAATTACCTGGGGATGGTCAGTCCCACGTTGATATCTCGAAGCCGTCACACCTTTTTTTAATTTTATACTGAAACAAAAACTAAGAACAGGCAATCAAGGTCACACTTTTTACATCATTAACTGCCGGGCTGGGGTCAAGTTGCTAGATGGATTAGTCCGATTAGATGACTGAATTTCATTTTTCTTTTCCCTGAAAAAGGACTCATTCTTTTGAGCCCAACAAATTCAAGTACCTGCCAAATCTGGACAGAACGGTCTTACAGGCCTTTTTATTATCATTATAGTATTACAGGGAAGTCCACAGCAGCCAGCCTGTGCTCAAGCCTGGAACACGCAGGGACTGTATCCAACCTGCCGGTGGGCGATACCGGCCAGGGTCAGCCGGTACCATCAGGTCCGAGCTTCTTCGATGGGCCAGTCGCTGTGCGTCCACTCAGGTCCCCTCCCCATACGAACATCAGCAGTCTCTGCTCAATGCCGCTCAGGGGGACCAAACGGCCTCTCTCTAGGTGGCCGCCGGCCGGCACCAAGCTTGCCCAGGAAGAGGGGCAACTACGTTTATGTCACCTTTGAGTATCGAATGGGCAAAAAAATCACGCGTCGGCAAAGAAAACCGCACTGAGTTCGAAAAGCAATGGAAGTACCGACGGCCGTGGTGTTAGACCGGGTGTCATATTTACAGGGGCCAGCCGTGGTGTCAGAGGGGAAAAATAAAAATAAAAATAAATGCCCACCGGATACTTTTGGACCGAAATCGCTCAATGACATTTCGAGTTGAAGTGGGGTTTCTTTGCCGGCGCATGTTTTTTTTTGCCTTTAGCGTTTCAACTTTCAAAACATGCCGCATCCGCCGTTATTTCAAAAGAAAAACTAAAAAAGAAACCTAAAACTAAAGCAAAAAGTAAAAACCAGGCAGTCAAAGTTACACTTTTTACGTCATTAACTGCCGGGTTAGGGTCAAGTTGCTCGTGAGGGTCAAGTTGCTCCCTACCCCTACCCATTCCAAAAGAGGAGGAAAAAAGTCAAGATTCCACCCCATTCATGACAACGACCAGACGCTCTTTCGCTACTGTAGTTCCCCAAACATAGCGCAACCTTACAATGAATGTATGCCAGCTATCTTTCCAGCCTGATACGGTCATACTGCAGATAAAGTTGTTCTAGGTGAAAAACGGTAGCTGTGCATTTGAGGCTAATCAGTGCATCTAGGGTCGAGAGAAGAGAGCTGAGAGTGCCGCTACCACAGTGAGTTGGGTTTTAGTTTATTTTTGTATGACAAAAAGAGAGCTTTCCCCTGGCCAACTCCATTCTCGTAATAGGTTTGGACTAGACAGTCTTCTAGAATAGCAAAGTAGGGGCATGCCTCTTTGTGTCTGAGCTCAGAAAACCTGAAGCAAGACGTATAAGCTCTCAGATACATGATGTATAAGCTCTCAGATGCATGCTTTCTTTCTTAGCGATAAAAGATAGCACCAGTGGAGCCTGCCCCTAAAGCCTAAAGTCCACCACTTATCAACTGGATGGTATTGCTAACTATGGATGTGTTGCACTAGCGGTTAATGGAAGGCCCAAAATTCGGGGTTTTTCAGTGGGGGTTGATGTGCATAAGAATACATCAGCCAAACGCATCCTGCATAGACTGCCCTTCGAGGATATCCGTTCAACTTGCAAAGATCCAGAGAAGATTAGCATGAAAAAAAAAAAGAAATGGAGTGGCTATTCCCCACTGACTATATTCAAGGCCGTCTTTCTAGCATAAAAAAAAAGAACAAAGATTGAAGCAGCAATGAAGCCACCCAGTGAATGTGGCCACGGGGTTCAGTTCAAGCATCCAAGGCTCCACTTCACCAAACGATTACCGCCCAGATTTGCAGCTCGCTGAGCTGGCGCTAAATCACACAACAGACTTCCCCGGATGTATCTGACCGGAGACGTGGGCAGATTCCCCGTTGATAAAGGCATAGTGTGATAATGCAGTTCAATGCACTATGTGCATTGGGGGGTCGGAATGGCCGCCACATTACTTCCCAAAAATGGACGGATCAGCAGCAGGGTATGGGCCCAAGCTGGGCCAAGGACTATCAACCACTATCCGATCTTGTGATCGGGGACAAAGCCCGTCCAGAGTCGTAGAACCAAAGGACGATACCAAGACTAGCCATTTGTGGCCAAGATGTGGCAATACCAGGATGATTGCGGGTTGTGCCCTTACGGTCATCTTCCATCCAGATAAAGAAGTCGATACTGATCCGACTATCCAGTCTGCGCGGGACAACTCGTGTCGGGGTGCATCTGGGACGGTCGAAGGAAGTCCGCGGGAACACGCGGGTGATAGCTGTACCATGTCGCCAGCCGCAGATCATCCATGAATCAGTCCCCTTGGATCAATTTCGCATCACGGCCCAAGCTTCTCAAAAAAGGAGATTCAAAGAACGTACAGAGAATGCATGCCTGGCCCAGTGCTAGGCTGGCTTTCCCTCCCATCCGGATTCCTACCCTTTGCCTTAGTGTCTCCCCCTTGGCTGGAAAAAGCAAGTGATTCAGTTGAAAATCAACCATGGATCGCAGAGAAGATTAGCATTAAAAAAAAAAAGAAATGGAGTGCCTATTCCCCACTGACTATTCATCACGAAATGTAGCAACTTGCTTAAGCAACCAAACAGAGACCTTGTCGGGTTAGAGAATGTTGGGACTATTGGCCTGTGTTTCCCAACGTCTTTGTCCTTTGGGATCAAGTAAGCTGCTCGCAGCTTTCCTTTTTTCCATCCCATCTGGCATCTGGCAATCCGATTGAAGTTCTTCTCAATATAATTCTTTCCTCATTTGAGTCATTTCATTCATAATTTCACTCCTTGTTTTTTTTTTTCGCTTTTTTCGTAG